GATACAACCAGTTCCTTTTACCTTTAATTCTTCACTCCCTTGAAAGTATATTTTTTCACATTTTCTTATTTTAGAATTCTGTACTCTGTTCTGACACTTAAAGAATTTATCGACATCAATATAATTCGCGTAAAAATTTCGATAACGTTCACACTCGATCAGCCCTACGTCTCCGAACGACTACACAGTTCCTAGACTCTCGCGCAAAGTTCAGTTTTCAGACCACGTGACGAGTTTTCCCGCCACAATTACGCAATAATTTCTTTACACGCGTAGCTTGCGAGCAAGCTCTCCTTCCTTTTCCCGCGCCGCCGCCAGAGCCCCCCGGAGAGCTTGCTCGCAGGCTAAGGTACGCGCGACAGTTGATTTTGGCGCCAGACGTTAACGCCTCGGGCCACGTGGCTTTGTTTGTCAAGCCAAAAAGAAAAACTCACGTGGTCACATTCCTGAGCGTTTGGTAGGCCAAAGATAGGCCAAGACGAATAATGGTGCTCTCTGTCAACGAAAAAGGAAAAATTTTCGTTCGTGGAAAGTCATGATCAATCGGTGAAAGTTCTTTCGGTTATAGCATTCTAGCGCTATAAAAACTCTGACCACATTCTGATGCGCGAACAACGATGCCAGCGTGATAAAATAAATGTAACCACGAGAGTACACCTTTTTGGTTTGACCGAAGTCGTTAACGTCTGGCGCCCAAATCAACTGCCTCACGTATCTTTGAATTCGCGGTCTACCTGTTTCAGTGTATTTCGATTGGTGGGGGCCGTGCAGCCCAACCTCGTCCCCAGCTGGGTGCTTTAATCCACGGACAGGCGCCCTGGGGACGAGGTTGCGTGTGGCCCCCAACCTGGTCGCCAGGGCGCTTTCCCTAGCTTTAGAGGTGGCCCCATCTCCAAAGCCAGGGAAAAGCGCCCGGGGGCCGAGGTTGCGTGCGGCCTCCAGTGAGTACGCGATAGCATATGGTGTGTGGTTGTTATTGTCACGCACTGCATGGCATGGTACGGTATGGTGGTCTGTAGGGAACTTTAGACGGAAGAAAATCCTCACGAAATTTAAGAGCGCGAAATTTAATACCCATAAAAAAAACACAAATCACAATTAACATGTAAAGTAGCAACAACATATACATTAAAATTCTAACATGACTCTGAGGCTTTATGGTCAAAATTGCAAATTTTTCACAACTCCATTGTCTCGCAATTCCCAGAAGAGCTTAAGCACAAAGAAAACGAAACCAAATATTGAAAAATGACCCTAAAGCCTCGGAGTCATGTTAGAATTTTAATATATCGAACGTAGGGTATTAATAACCGGATGAGAAAAACGCGCGGGCCTGGGTAGGGAAAATGCTTCTTTTTCCCGCGACCGCCACGTTTCTCAGATATCTCGCGCCCTATTTTCCCACGACCTTGTTTGCGCAACGTCCCTACTACAGTAATCACAAATTGCTTGGCTTTCCTATCCCAGTAGGACATCCATTCGTCATTCACGGCTTATGTACAACCCGTCAATGGATTTAAAATTTATGTTTACTCTTAAAATTACACCTGTTGTTGTTATTGCATGAGGACATTCAATAAAACTTTATTTTTAGGATATCACCAGGTGGTCAAAATAGATTGAAAGGCCATCCGTTTATTTCACCAAGGTCAAGTCCAAGACTCAAGCAGTTCTTATTTATATTTTATCTATTGAGAATTGAAGGCAGGCTGCAGTTTGAAGGCATAATCGTACATATGATAATAGCCTAATCTATAAATTCTGCCAAGGAAGTGCTTAAAATGTTCCAATGATGAGTCAGAATTGTCCCGTTTTGTAAACACCATGAGCTTTTAAGGATCGATTCCCGTGCCTCAAGTCGTAATAAGCTTTACGGTCAGTTGTTTTAAAACTTTTGCTGTTGTTAGATGGTAACAGACGCGCAGCGCGAAACCCAACAGCGTGTAGGTGTGTGGAAGCTCGTCCCGTTTCTAGAAGTTTTTGTCATCCGAGGTTATAAAAAAATACAAAAGCAACATTGGCAAAAAAGAAAAAATGCAATTTAAGAACTTTTAACAGATTGTTGTATTAAAATAAAACAAGTTTTAAAATTCCTTTTTTTTCCCAGCTGATATTATGTCAAATTAACATTTTTTTTCGTGGAATTGGCCTGACAGAAGAAAGATTCACGCGGACTAAAATACATTATATCCGGCGTGTAGGAAGTAAAAGCCGAATAAGTTTAAACTTATTCTAAGTTGTATTAACCTCCCTAATTACAACCCGCGGAAAGGTGGCAAAGGGATCAGTAATTCACGTGAACAGTAGTGAGAAGACTTGTGTGACTTCTTTAAGCCAAGTGAAAATGAACTGACCAATAGCTTTTACAAAAAAATAGTCTAGCTTTTGGTATAGGAACCAGTCTTTCATGTTTGAGGGAGTGTCGAGCTAGAGATTAACTGGAGTCTCGAAGGATGAATTGAGACTAGGGGTGCTTACCATTTGACAAAAAAATCCGGTT